AGCACTCCTGCCTACGTTGTAAGGTAAGGGGAACATCTGTGCCTACTTCAGAAAGCACAGTTGAGGGAGCTGTGTCCATTGTTTTTAAAAATGTGTTTATCGGCTCATTAGACTCCGCTAAGCATATTTATGTAACACTTCCTCTATATTATTGGCTGGCATAACAAAACAAACAAAACATCCACATCCAGTCAATGAGAAAAGGCAGCTGGCAGAGCAGGCAGCTACTCTTTCACTGCAAAACACTTTTTACTCACCTCCAGCTTTCTCTGTAGCTCAGACAATCCCTGCTACCTCTGTGTGCTAATCCATTCTTTCACCCATATTCTGTCTTCATAATTGCTATCTTTATAATAATAAACAGCAGCTGTTTTGTGTGTAGGTTTGTGTCATTTCCCGTTTCAAATGTGTTTGGGCCGATGCTGAAAGTCGTGTAGTCAGCACGAGCTTTAAGACGTAGTCAATTAGAAATCTCCTTCTCATTTGCTTACCCTTTTTATAGTTTACCCTAAAACAGTATAAAGCTTTCAGCAGCAATAGAGCACTCCAAACAGATAAAACTGAACTTCCTAAAATAGGCCAAAGCTGCTGCCACAAGATAATTTATCCTTTATTTCCATCTGTCACTGGGCGAGAGCAGTGTGCACTTACATCAGACTACATGGTCTCTCAAGTGCTCAAACAAGTTGGTTATGTCACTTGCATTTAAGGTTTACCTACAGGCAAAGTTATCACATTGCAGCTTTATCTGTAAAGTGCACAAGTGAGGACTACTAAATGAGGACTGTGGATTTTGTCCCTCGTCTTTAACTATGGACTCATGTTAGGAGTGTTGTATTGAGAGATTTGAAACAAATCAAAGTGTTTCCTCTAAAGCCATGTAGATCATTGAGGACCCATCAGAATTATTTACTGAGTCCTAACATAGCATAAAATGGAAATAGGAAATGTCAGAATGGCTTTATCAAACTTTACAGGAAGAGGAAAAAACAGCTATTAACTTCTTAACAGAGTAGGTGAAAAGCTTTATACTTGAGGCAAGAGAAAAAGATGTGGTGGCAAAACAATAATGATGAATGATCTTACTTGTCTAAACAAGCCTGAAGAGTCATTGTATTTCATGCTCATATTTCAAACCAGAATTAGTTGATAGTAGATTGTGTGTGCATTCCCATGTGTTGATTTTCACGTTAATCCAACTGCGTCCTCTTAGGCCTGTTACTGTGATGACCACGCCAAGAGTAAGGTCTTCAAACAGGAGAAAGGAAAAGCTCCACCCTGTCCCAAGTGTGGTCACGAGACCCAAGAGACAAAAGACCTCAGCATGTCCAGTGAGTGTGATATAAAACTACTGAAAGTTGTTTCCCGTAAAGCTGCAGTTTGGAGGAAGCTGCAACTGCTTTGACAAATGAAACAAAAAGTGTGAAGACAGGGAAATTTTCTAGAAAGTTGTTGGCATTGGGTGCTGTTCATCTTTTATTCAGCTTTCACTTGCAATTTATTGTGATATTGATTTAGTGAGATTGAAGGTTCATCTTTTAATGTGACAAAGCAGTGATAATTTCTTAAATGCACCACTGCTGTTTGTCCTTTATCTCTTTGGACTTTATCCATTGGGGAGTGAGATAAAAAGCTCGGTTCTGTCTTGTAGAGCTTTGTTAAAAAATCTACTCAGGATTCTGATATCTGTAGTTTCTCACCATACATTCATTTTCATAATCTAGTGTGTACACTACCAGAATTTAATTTAATTTTTTTTTCCAAAACAAGAAAATTCTACAAGGAGCTGCTGCATTCTGTCAGCAGTGATTTACATGTTTAGTGTACCATAAGTCTCACCATCCAGATCAGTAATATATACCCTTTAATCCATTTAATCCATTTATTGTTGCTTGTTTTACAGTTCAAAACACAGTTAAGCATTTGTTAGCAAAACAGGTACTTCTCTTTGGTACTCAACAGGTTTGGTAATACAAAGGCACAGACTATACTGTACTACAGTTAAGCTGTAATACATGGACATGGTTTTCTAAAATTTGTAGAAACTCAATGTCACCTGTCTATTTCTGTCACTTCACCGCCCTGTAAATGAAATGTCTGTGTTCTCTGCAGCTCGCACGTTGAAGTTTGGCCGCCAGGCTGGTGCTGACGACGATGACGATTATTACGACGACGGAGCATCAGGATACGATTCCTACTGGAAGAACTTAGCTTCTGGAAGCAGAGAGCAACAGGACAACGATGATGAGAGATGAAGATGAGATGAGGATGAGTGAGGAAGATGAAGCCGAGGAGGAGGAGGAGGAGGAGGAGGAAGAAGAAGAAGAAGGTGAAGAGGAAAAGGCTGCTGCTTCCATGGCGGGTCTTAAACTGGACGGGACCACCTAAGACAGAGACGGAAGAAGGCTGTACAGGCGGAGAGCACAGTCCCATAGAGCCAGATGATCCTCTGCAGATGTTCAGTTGTTACAAGTCAGGAATGAATAGAGACCTACACAGAAAATCTATCTATCTATCTATCTGTCTCTGTCTGTCTGGTATAACCAGGGCTGGGTGTTGATACTAGTGCAAATTTTCTTTCTGTACGATACTGCTTCTAATACCTCACTCTGAGGACTATAAATGTTTTTCTATAAAACCTACACAAGCAGCTGTACAAGAACTAGAAGAATAAAATCATAAGTTCAAATAATAGGCAAGTTTTGGTTAAAATATTCTGTAAGCCCCTTTTGACTCATTTTTGTTTTGACACAATTTTAATTAGGAAAATGTAAAAACAGGACCCCCCACACAAGACAGGTAAATGTGCAAAGTGGAAGCAGTCAATTCTCATTTCAAAGTTTCCTTTAATCTTGTGTGTTTTGCTGGTTTGTCGTTAGGAACACATAACAGAGTTTTACAGTCAGCGATAAGATGATTCTTACAGATGTGCATCTTGGCAGTCACAGTGAACTACGTGTATAAAAATCTGTGTGCAACTCAGTCTTTCCCTGTAATTTTGTTCTCACTGGACTTCTGTGGTGTATATTCTCTAACCCACTCGCAGTTCATGAAATCACTACATGCTGCCTCATAATGAATTTGGGTCCTTTTTGGCCTGTGTTTTTTGTCAAATTTGTTTAATCCTTCCCATGTCTTACTGTAAAGCACACTGAGTTTACCTGTGTGAGGTGTGCTATGCAAATAAAATTGACTTGATTTAATGTCTGCAGCTCCAGACGATTATTCAGCCCTGGTTACAGTCTGAAATATATTTTTTTTATTGTGATGTCTTTACTGTGTAATAACTGTTCTGCTGAGGACTTGATCTGCAATTTATAGTAAATTGGTTGTTTACCCTGCAACACAAAGGTTGTTCAGTCAACTTGACATTTGCTCTGCTCGTTTTTTCTGCTCCATTTGATGAGACATGATTGTTAAATATGCCAAATAAATATTAAAATCATATTTTGATTGGCTTGGATGACTCACTCCTATGAATTTGCAATAATAATAAAAAAACTTCAAATGCTGCCCCGACACGCACAAATGTGAAACAACGTATTCGGTTTGTAGCAAAGTGACGAATCAGAGGAGGAGTGAATTTGACCTCAACATGACGATATCAGGGCGTGTGTAAGTCGGTCTAAGAGCAACATTTGGACCGCAGTAACAATCGTCGTCTTTAATATTTGCTGGACCCAAATCAGTGAGACAAAATAATTTTATTACAAGTGAAATGCAAAAATGTGATCTTCGCCTGTTGCTCCGCTGGGTAGGAGAGGAACTGTTGCCGCTGCGCAGATGACAGACTTCATGAAGGTGATCCCGGTGATACTCGTCCAGCCCACATGTTACGGAGAGAAAAGAGCGGTAAGCTGACTTTGTGTGTGTGGATGGCAGAGGTGTAACACCTCGTGTTGGATTAGGATTACAAGTGGTGTTTTCCATTTAGGAAGAAAGAAAGTTCGCAAAGTTCCCACAGGCAGGACAGAAATAGTGTGGAATGACCGGAGGTGTGTCAGCGTGGTGAGATATTTCAGCTGCTGTCGGTGAACCGTGCACCAAAATGATTATTGGGTTAAAACAAAACACAAAACCAGTACTGTGTCTCTATTTTAGTTTCACTTTCATTTGGTGCAGACGGCGTCATCTGGTGCGACTAGCGCCTCCTGTTCATGTAAGCACTAGAGTCGCTGCAAAACAACAATCTAGCTGTTTGTGGTGAGTCAGTGTCCCAGCGCAAAGCTATTATTAAACATTTTACTGACACAGAAGTATCCTACATTACTGCAAAATGTAGGCCTACTTAAAATTTCAACTGTTAACATAGACCTGTTTATTATGCAGAATGCCACTTTTACAGTATTATTATGTTATAAAGGCCTACAGTATTAGTTCATTCGTGGAAGAAATAATCAGATTTACTTTAGTAAAAGTAAAGGATCTGTACAACCGTGTAACAGTACTTCCTTACAAGTTCTGAATTTAAATATTATCAGCAAAATTATAACTGAAAAGTATCAAAAAGCACTGCTTTTAGAGCGTAATATTATTGGCATGTGAGAAAGCAAACTCAGTCCTACAATATGACAAATGCCGCTGCATTGTTTAATATTACATTAAGTTAGTGAAAAAACAGATAATCAACCACCATGATGAATTAATTTTGACATTATTGTTAGGGTTGTCAAATAATAGAAATATAGGAAAATTAACGCTTTATATTTTAACGCAGGATTAATCATAATTGGCAACTTTATGATTCGCGACCCGGTTGGGTGAGGGGGGATACGAGCGGCCCCTCCCAACTTGGACTGATCCTTGTTTTTGCTGTAATCTAATCTCAAAGGCGCCGATCAAAGGAGTTTACTTTCCATCTGGTTTGTGTGACAAGTGCAACAGAGACGCTAAATATGGCGAAAACTTTGAATTTAGAAGAAACAGTGTTGGCAGAAGAGGCATTTACTATTTTAGCCTTCTGACTGACTGTACACATGACATGTTCGTAGTTAACAGTATACTGTGACTTAAGTTTTAACCAGGCTTGACCTGGTCTTGTCCAGTACAGTGGTGACTTGCTTACACAAACTGAGGAGGTCGGCGTCATCCTTAAGTTTCTTGAAGATCTTCAATAACACAAAAACACTATTTGTATTTTTACAAAAAAAAAATGTGGCATTGTTATTGCATATGAACAGTGAAAAAACGTTATGAATGTATGGGGAAAAAAAGTTGTTTAGCTAAATTTTACATTTACATATTTAGCTGACGCTTTTATCCAAAGCGACTTACAATTGCTAAATATGTCAGAGGTCAGACGCCTCTGGAGCAACTAGGGGTTAAGTGTCTTGCTAAGGGACACATTGGTGGATGGGTCACAGTGACGGATTGAACCCGGGTCTCTCACATCAAAGACATGCATCTTATCCATTGCGCCATCACTATTAAATTTGTTTATTATCATCGATGCACTCATCTACCAAAATCTATTTGAATTAGAATATTTTAAATGCTTATCACAGCAAATATCGATAAATGTGATTCATTTCGATTCATTCATTACAAAACTACAAACAAGTTACAAAACCTGTAATTAATTAGATGATTTTTTTTTAAATCGCTTGACAGCCCTATTTATTATATGTCTATTATTATTGTTAGGGTCAAACTTCAATTAAAATCTGTGCATAAATTGAAAATAAATGACATGTGCATTAACAAATGCTGCTGGCACATTGGATGTCTTCATCTTTGTATGTTGACACTCAGAAAAGGTTGCTGAACCCTGATGCAAAGTTTAATTGTTTTATTATTATGTTTAAATGTTAGTGTAAAACCTACACTGCCTGGAGTTTGTCTGTCACCACAGTGACGGTGTAAGACAAACAAGCACAAACACACACATATTCAGTTGTTGCACATTTGAACATTTTGTTAAATTGTATTATTATGTTCACTACTGTGTCACTACAATAACAGTAACTGAGATACTTGGATCACCCCTACACACACACACACACACACACACACACACACACTAACTCACACACACCAATTATGCTGAAACAAATATTTAAGTGTTGAATAAAAAGCTTTCAATATCATGTTTTTTTTATCATATTCCTTATTACTTGGGGTGTGATGAGATCGCGTGCCATAATAAAACATTTCCACCATAAAGTGATGCAGAAAAGGCAGAAATTTGTGCAAAAGAAATCACCAGGATGCAGGAAATGAAGATTTCATATAATTCGGAAGTTGAATATTTCCTAAAAAGTGTTAAATCTCGTCTGGTCTCTTCTCATTCTTGTGAACCCAATGTCTTGTCTTTTGAGCCAAGTGTCTTGTCACATCCCTACTTATTACATAATTTTACATTTCAACCCGGTGTATATTACAACTAACCCAGACTATGGGGTTAACTGAACATCCTTGTGTTTGAGTCTGTGTTGCAGAGATAACAGTTACACCATTTAATAGCAGACACATGTAACTAGTTTATATCACATTTTGAACACACTGGCTTTAAAGAGCTTTGAGATGTTACAACCATCCCCATGCTCCCTTACATTGTATTATTGGATGTTATTACTTACAGTAATGTTGTGATTTGTCAGTATAGCCAATTGTAGGTATTTTACACACTAAAGACCTACATCATATTTTAGAGGCTCCTTTTGTGTTTTGCTTGTGAAATCCTAAATCTGAAAAATAATGTCAGATAAACATAATGTTGATGAAGTAGAAGTAATACATATGAAAATACCTGAAAATTGTTCTTAAGTAGGCTACAGGACTGTACTTAGTAACATTCTGCCTCTGGGTTTGTAAGTATAGTGTTACTAATGCATGACTTTCAAAGCAGCATTAAACAGATGTTTTAAGGCATAACAATGCTCTACATGGAATTATTACCTTTAAGGCTGTTGATGGCTCTACATCTTGCAAGCAGCCTGAGGACCTTAGACAAAGAACCTGCTGGCTGTTTCTGTGTCTACATTTAAGACTAGAGGGGTCTGAGCCTTTGATATCAGAGGATCTGGGGCCTGTACTACAAAGCAAGTTCAACATACCCAGGATATCTTTAATATTCCAGCTTCACTCACTCTAACAACTGCAATTAGCTAAGCAGACAGGCAGCAGAGTGGAATATTTTACAGACGAAGACGTTAAACACTAATCCAGGCTAAAAGGAAAAGTTTCAGCTGCAAAATGTTATTGCAGGCTGGTGCATGTCAAAGTGATCAGGCTTATATTAGCATTGCCCCATCATTATGTTTTTCAGTGCAGTAGCTGTGTTGGATTTTCAACATGTAAAGCACTGAATAAGTTGTTCCAACTCAGTGTCAAGAACTTCTTGTCACTTCAAAATCTGATTAATTTTTTAACGCAGCCAAAAATGTTTCTAAATGAACTTCCATTCCATTAAAATTCATTGCCACTAAAATTGCTCAAATAGTGGTCAAAAGACTGCTTCTCAAGTCTCTTAATTGTATCCACGTTTCCCTCATATGTCAAAGCCAGGAGAGAAGGAATGAGGAAATATGTTTTTAAAGAAATGAGACATCCTTTCCACCGAAGCGTCATGTGAAGCGACGTCAGTTTCTGATGACGGCGGCAGCTGATCACAGCTGGATCAGCTGTCAGTCGGCTTTAATAGCTGTACAGGCTTTTGAAGGAGTTTGTGTTTGCACACATGTGCACCGTGTTGGTACTACTAATGTCTCACAGTTATCTGTGCAGAGTAGCATGATTCTCTCTGTAGCTGTTACCTGTTTAATAAACACCTGCACATGAATAATTATAGGTTACTGTATGTCCTGCTCAGAAGCACAGGAGCATTTCTACTGGCAAAATGTTTATAGGCCTCTTATCTGCATTTATTAATTCTGATAGTGAATTTGTTATTGAATAACCCAGATTATGATCATGTTGTCTTGGGATTTATTAGCCTAAATGTTTCAGGGAAATTTAAATGGTGTCTTCTGATATCCTTTAACACTACTGCATACATTTTATTTGCAAATCATATCACTTGTAACTGATCGATCACTGCCTTCCAGCATATCAATCCAACAGCTTTTTTAGTAGTGGTTTTCATTCATGCTTTCATCTGCTGATGTTACTCGCGGAGCTGCTGGCTGCTTTCATCAGATGCAGTAGGTGAGATGGCTGGATGTGCTGCTTTTATTTTCCTTTGCTTGCTTCATTGGAGACTTTAGTGCAGTTTAGTGACTTGTCCGACTCCGTAGGCTACGTGTTTACTATGTTTTATTGTTGTGTGTTTGGACTAAACACTGGAATGACCAGCCTCACATGTGACTGAATAGAAATGATGATAAATTATGTAACATGTTTCTTGTAGACAGACTCTCCGACTCTCTCTGACTTTAATTGTCTGCATTATAAAAGTTGATGGGAGAAATAAAATAAAGAAAGATCTTTCTAATAAAAGAAGAAAGTTGTGTGTGGGGCT